CTGATTTGATGACTCTCTACCAGTCACTCTTTGATGCGCTGTCTGATGTTAGTGAGTCTGCAAGTTTCTGATTGTGGTTATTTTTGGCCATGTGAATAAGTGAGACGATTATATTATGTAATTATTTGACGTCATTTACGTATTTCAGAACATATATGAGGTAACAAAATAACACGTTCATGTAAACAGGAATCTGACGATATTGGATTTGCTAGGTCCAGAGACATAGACGACGTATCGGACAGAGATGCAGTTGAGAAATTTGTTGATGATGGGTCAGTTTGGGTAGTAGTGGTATATCTACAAATAGATTAAAAAACAATATGCAGCCATTGAATGCACGCCATGTTAGTGAAATTAGCGATGAATAGATGAGTAAAGACTACATTTTGAATATAACACACATAGCGTGGTAAAGTTTGTCTGTAATGTTAATGTTGTCTTAAACTTAATTCCATATATGATAAGGCAGCAAGTACATTAGAGTAATGTTTGGGCAGCAAGCATATTCAGTAAGAGGGAGAATTTTCATGTACATACATCATGCATAGGTGTTTTGTCATTAAAAAATTTATGTTCGGAACAACAAAAACCGCGCTGTCAGTATCAGGCATCCGAAGATATCTATTATAAGCATCCAGAACATTATCTTTACAATGTTCCGAAAAGATGTCCTTGGAGGAAAGAAAGAGTTAACATAAAGGAGAAAGCCAATAATTATGTAAAGAGAGTATGATGTAAGAAAATGACAATTGAAAGAGAAACTTAAATAACATAAACGAACCAAAAGGAGCACTGAAAATCATAACTTAACAAAAAAGTGTGCATACTATACACATAGATTTGTGGTTGTATATGAATAACATGTTAATTGGTGGTAACTATGTCAATATAACATCATAATATACTATATACTAATGATTTACAATATCAGTTTTATTAATTTAGCTTTTCACAAACGTTAATTACAATTACTGAACAAATATTGTATTACATGTACACTGGTTTGTAAAAGTAGATCTGTTTGAATCATGAACATAATAAGGCATTGAAAATATTTAAATATGCAAATAAAAATTTCCTATAAATATCATCCCTAATATAAAATAAAAATTAATGTGACAATTTGCAAAAGGCACTCGTTATTGTCTATTAATATTGTTTTAAAGAAATCATTTCCTAAAAAGAGTCACAAAAATCAATTTGTCAAATCAAATTAAATTAGCCAGTAAGTATATTTTGTGTTTATACGTGCATATAAGCTTTACCTTTATTGGTTTTACATCAAATATACAACAGGTATATTTATGATATATTGATGAAGTTACTTAAATGATATTTCATTTTGCGCATATAATTTAAAAGCAGGAATGCCTGAACAAAGTCGCTGATAATTGAAAATAATTATTTACATTATGACCCATAAACGAACACCTTTACCCTTCCTTTAAAAAGAGCAAACATTAGTTATGCAAGGTTTAGAAAATGGTTATATAACATATTGAATGCTTGCTACCTGAAAAAGGTGCTATATATGAAATCATTTCTCATAAAAGTAGCAAAATATATAGGTCGTATTTTGATTTCCATACAAAATACTATATCACTATATCAGCACTGTTTCCGGCTTATAAGTATTTTTGATATAACTGGAAATCAGAAAAAGCTTTTGAAAAATAAAAATAAAAACATTGTGGGGCATAGTCGGTATTTAAAGTCTTATTTTTTTAAAAACAATGTAAAGTATTTTTTTAAAGTGTTCAAAAACCCTCTAATGCCAATATTTAGATAAAGTAATCTATAAATTTAGACTAATAATCAGATAACTTGGTATTAGAATATGTTTTTAAAATGTGTCACAGTTGAGTTCTCTTTTTATCGTATCGTATCTTTTAAAGTATAGTGCTCTTAATTTGCAAATTCTAAAATCCCTAGTCTCGATCCAAATTTTATAACATTTAAAAAAATATCTGCACAGTACTTATTTTGTGACTTCGATGTAACGAGGTTAGAACTTAGAACTGAGATTTTCTGGTCCTTCGGGATCATTGATGCCAGCACTATTAAGTGTTGAGAATTGAGTACCGCTCAAGCCGGTGCTAGGGGGCGTGAGGGATGTTGCACTTATTCATTATCTCTCATGTACAGACTCAATCAAACCGAGTCTGCAATTCTTATGTAATTTTGTTGTGATTAATGCTTCCGAGGGATCACTTTGTTTCCGGAATTTTAGAAATAACACCATGTTCAATCGGCTCCTGGTTAACATATCATCTCTCAAAGTGTGTCACTGTGTGATTGGCTGAAAATAGGCAAATGAATAACGTTTAAATAACCTGAATATACATATAGAGTCTATATAAACTACAATAATATACCATAGTCTGTCCCATTAAAAATGGAAATGAACTTTTGCCTGGTATGAATTAAAAAAACGACGTTGAATAAAAAATAAAACTTTTTGTAAACTAAAAAAGTCACCCTCAGGATTTTTCTGGATTTTCCCTAAAGTGTCTACTTTTCTTGTAAAAGCAAAGTTTAATTAAACTTCTCTACTTTCTTTACTGCAAAACTCTTGAATGACAGGACTCCTACACTTATGATGATCCAGATTATTTTAAACTGTTAATCCGTCTCATTATTAAAACATTGTTCCAATTGTGGAGTTATCTGGGTTAGCAAATGAAATATGTAAACAAAACACATCATATTTCAGTATGTTCTAAATCCATAATTCAAGAACGGCCCATCAATTTAATTTGTCATCATCACAATGTTTATAACTCTTGAAAATGGATTCCCGACGAAAAAAACTTTATTATGTCAACAAAAATTTACGAAATATTTGACGTAACAAAAATGCCTCGCGCTTTTTATTGATGATCCTAGTTGCGGTATTGACAGAGAGCGGTTAGGCATATGTAACCTCATACGGATAATTTTAAGCGTTGAGATAAATTTGTCTTGATGGCATTTAAAATAGCTTTTGTATACCCAGATTTTGCAGTAACTGTTAAAATTACACCTTCAATTCATATATTTACAATACAACTTTTGATAATATTTGAATAATTTTAAACACACTTAATGACATGAATCTATATAACAATACAATACTTCTTCCATTAATTCACATATAACCTTCGTTTTGTTTTTATGATTTTTTTTCAACTGTTTTATATATTTCTCAGAAATTATTTCCTTATATATTATCTCGTTATTCAAGACTTCTGTAAATCCTACTCTTTAAGCTAGAAAATATACAATACGCGGTATTTTTTTCTCCCGCGCAAAAATTACACTTATTGTCCCTTATTGAACATATTGAACGCTCCAATTCAAACTTATTCCTAATAATATCAAATCACTGCCAGTATTTCTTGACAATTTGTTGAATTGTGAGACGGAAAGTTAAATCTGTATATACGAGCTTAAAGTGTATAGGCCTACGTTTGATTGCTCAAACTAGAAAGCATGATAGATCTTTTATATTCTTATAATTAACATTTTCCTCGAAAGCGAGTCTGTGTTCTCTCATTAGCGAGGGAGTTAGTAAAAGTAGACACTGTGGTTACAAGCAAACCAATGCTGAACATATAGTGAATCAGTTCCCCTTTCTACATATTCCTTGTCAAATTTGCAATAAGAAGGGTCACATATTTTTGTATCCCATCGAACCTGGTCACTTTAATTTTTTTGAATAGACGTGATACATACATACTAATGAACAGAATTCAGACAAATACAGAAATATTCAAATTAAACATTAAATTAGCGAAGAACCATTTTTTTAGTTTTCTAGCTAGTGTTCCCGTTACCCTGCGACGCGTTATGGTATCGATTGAAAAACTCTCCAATTAAATCACTTCGCTGCACTTTTTCTCTTAAAAAGAATATAAAATACGACATTATATCATGGTAATTACATGTATTAATCTTTGTGTGATAGAATTTATAAAGCGATTACTGATATTTTCACTTCCAATGATTTTGATTATTTTAAATAATAGTTTGCTAGTAAAATTGTCTTTTTGACACCAACCCTGTTCTCATTTTTCTGTTTGATAATAACATTTAGCTATTGATCAGTAAGTAAATAAGAATAATCATTTTTATATAATTACCGAGAACATTTCATGCTAATTGTGAAACGAACCCTAAATGACGTCTGTATTGGCGCCACCATTTTGAAACGGACAACGGGAAAATATAATTTTTACATTTTGACCATATTACTGACTTTATGAAAAAAAAAGAAAAAACATTAGAGATATTGACGTAGTCAGAGTTAACATGACATTAATTTAAATTATTTTACTATTATATTTAACAAAAAATGGAATATTCAAGTTTGGTGGGACAGACAATAGGTAGATATAAATATCAAACAATAATAATTCCTACGAAAAGTGATAAATGTTTGTATTTTTAATAATTCAAAATTAATGTAAACACACTTTTGTGTAACATTTTTCCTTCGGTAACCTTCAAAATAATCATATCTAAAGCAATATCAGTCAATAGTATGCCGTAAATGATACTTATCACTCTACCTGAATTTAAATTGTTTCCGGCTAAATTTTTGTATACTTTTACAAACATTTAGAAACATCACAGGTTTAGTAAAGTGCTTAAAAATATTTTAAATTGATAAGATATTTAAATTTAAACTACATCTTTTTTGAGAGTTTAACATTATATTACCTGTTTTGTGCTTCACTAACATCGGCTGAAACAATTTATTTGAAAAATATAATAATGAGTAAGTATTTTTAAACAAAATTAGTGCATTTATGCAACTGACTCAATCATTCGAAGAATTAAAAATATCAACACAAAATTTAGTTCGTCAATTGATGTCTTGCATGATCTTCTTGAATGAAATAAGGATTAATGTCAAAATCTAACAGTATTTAAATTGTTTACTCATGAATAATTGAATATTCTGACTTTGAGTATATAATTACATGTTCGATAATATATCTTGCAATTTAATAAAAACCTTACCGTTAAGATAATCATCACTCTCCCCATCTTCTGCCTCTATTGTATATTGACATTGTTCGGAAGTTTGCCTAGAATATTTTTTCAGATAATACAATTACAATTTGGATTTAGCATTCTTATTTACAACCATCTGCCGTTGACTTGAACAGATAAAATGAAATTCAAAATAATCTAAAAAATCATATTGAGATACTCATTTTTCTGATCAAGATATGTCAAACTTCAAATTTCACTAAAAATTAAAAAAAAAAAAAAACAATGTCAAAATAATTATTAACGCATTTCAATTGAAGCAAACAATTAACGATGACTTACGATGAATGTACTGAATCATTCGAATCTGTCTCCACCGACTCTCTAGATTGATGTTGATCTTGTGTCTTCGTGCCTATTTTGTCATTCAAGAAATACATCATTTCGTAATGTTCAACGAATTCTTTAAATGAGTCGTATAATCATACTTAATCTTTCAAATTCTTGTTATTTCAAACATAACAATAATATTACAATAGAAGAGATAACAAAATAAAATCACCTTCTAATGAATCATACGTCTCATTGCTCTCTGTATCTGTTTTGTTATGAGCTTGTTCGTTGTTTTTTCTAGAACACATTTCAATCGAAAAAGATTACAAATTTAATATGAAAAGCTTTCAGATTTAGATGATGTTGTTAAAGAAATAACACATATACTTATGATACAAAGCGTAAATAACGTTTGACTTTTATTGTGTTATATATCATTTACATTGCTCGAATTCATAATAAGGCAATTTTGAACGGACGAAATCAATTAAAAAAATAAACTAGCAGTCCAATATTCTTTAGATAATTGATATTTTCTGCCTTGATTTCGTTTTTTAACATTGAAAACGTATGCAAATAGATAAAGCATACATATCATAGCAGAAAAAAGCACGAATATGAACAAATAAGGATGACATACGGTGAAGGTGCCGAATCATGTGATGCCTACGGTGTCCTTATCGTGCCATTTAGAATGTCGTCCGTCGCGTCTAAGGGTAGACACACGACAATGCGAAGTGACATCGCGACAATGCGAAGCGACGCTCGACAACGCGAAGCGATATGCGACAATGCGAAGCGACGCTCGACAGTGTCAAACGATATGTCGCACTGTCGCCTAGAAATGTCGCGGTAAAAAAGGGCGACATTTAAGAAATGTCGCTTCGCGTTGTCGAGTGTCGCGTTCGCATTGTCGAGCGTCGCTTCGCGTTGTCGCGATGTCACTTCGCGTTGTCGCGATGTCACTTCGCGTTGTCGCATTGTCACTTCGCATTGTCGAGTGTCGAGGTTGGTAGAAGTGCATACCACGACACTCGACAATGCGAAACGACAACGCGAACAATGCGATACGACGCTCGACAATGCGAAGTGACACTCGACATCGCGAAGCGACATTTTTAAAATGTCGAGTAAATGTCGCGTTATTTTTATGATTTTTACACCGCGACGCTCAACATTGCGAAGCGACACTCGACAATGCGAAGCGAC